ATTTCTGACTTGAAGTCATGCAATGGAAACAGTCCCTTGTTCAACATAAGGGGGGAATATGAATTTAAAAGAATGAAGTAGTATCCACAAATTATGGAACTTCAATTGACCTAATACACAAATGATTGGAGTTCCCAAAGGAGAGGAGACAGAGAGACACAGAGAATCCCTCACATCCAGAATCTTGACAAGCCTCAGGGTGTAGAAATGTGAGGGCAACCACACCAAGTTTCATTGTAATGAAATCTTGAGCTGTGGACAATTTTGAGACGCCTCTTCAGGTTGATTGACTATTGGTATGATAGGAAAATGTCAGCTAAAGAACTGGTTCCCGGACTTCCCTGGTGGTCCAGTGTTTAAGACTCAGTGTTTCCAATGCAGGGGGCACGGTTTCCATCCTTTTTCGGGGAGCTAAGATCCCACATGCCGCTTGGTGGGGTCAAAAAAAAAAAGAAACCCCAGGTCCCTGCAGATTCTACCACAATGTTTCCTCCTCTCTCTCCCTCTCCCCAACCTCACAACGCAAACGCGTGTCCCAGAGTTCTTCACTCTGGTCATTGTGGGTGCGTGGAGCAAATGCACAACTATGATTGTTTCTTTTAAACCCAAGGCAAACAATACTGATAGTCAGAGTCATATATCAGAGTTTAGGAAGAGTCCAAAGAACATAAGAGTACAGAAAAGCACAAATATGGAAGCCAAGATGCATGTCGACAAGTGTTTACTGACTTTTTCCTGAGAAAGGCCAGTCCCAGGTCTGCAGTGGTGCTAAGCAGACCTGTCATTCCTTAGGTCGTGATCGGTGGTGAGTATGGTCGTGATGAGCTGAGATAAGAATTATAATGAGTGTGAGTCCTTACAGATGCAGGTAGATCTACAGATTCATTCTCCTTTTAGTCGTGAGGCTGGTAGACCACTGCCCACTAACCCCACTGACAGATTTGCTCTAGGGGGAGGGTGAACAACATGTCCTGGATAAGGGGCCACGGCACAGCTGACTCTGTGGGGGTCAGGAGGAGAAGTCTGTGTGCCTCCAGAGTTTTGTAGCCTCTGCCCACCTCTCTGGAATGGCCATCTCCCATGGAGGCCTTTCTCCTATGGGCAACCAGCAGAAATATTCACCTACAAGGAAGCTGACATCATCCAGGTGCTGACATACCTGACACCATCCTGTAAAGTTGGAGGCGTGTTGCCCGGATTCTGTTTTGTACTGTATGGATGGCTAGGATTGCTTGACATGAACAATTTTCTAGGGTCTTGATCAACCAGGAACAATCTCTCTCGCTTCCTCCCAGTGAAGTGATCTCAGACAACTCCTGGGGTCCACGTCCCGCTGAATAGCAGGAAACGTGGGACAGCTGATACCCTGACAATATTCCCCTTAGAAATCCAGGACCACCCACATCCCACAAGGCCAGATGCCTGACTCTAGGCTTCCTTGTCTTTCCTCTGGGACCCTGTCTGCCGTCTTCAGGATGGGCTCCAGGAAATCCAGGGAAGCCCCGCCCAGGACCAAGCTGAGCCTCTGTTAGGGTCCATGTCTCTTGGGGCCTCACCTGTAGACACACTACCCTTTCCTCACTCCGCGGGTTGGATGCTTGTACCCACTGTTTCAAACTATGTTATTTGGGGGATGCATATCGAGGAAGGCTGGGGCAGGAATGTAAAGAAAAGCCATGGAATGATTAACCCTGGAGTCAGCAAACCAGCTAATCGGGGAGTGGGGTAGACAGATGTGCTTTGGGGGGTAGATTTCATCTGGGGTTATGTGGTTTCTGTTTATTATTCCTCCTTAAATTGTGAGTGTGCATTTCACACATTCTTCTTCAGGAATGCTGCATTTCATAATCAAAGGAATTGTGCCAAATACACTGAAAGAGACATGACTACTTTTCCTCTCCTTAGCTACATAGACCAGGACTCAGACATGGAGGAAATTTTCACGAAAAACTGCAAGTGTAAGATGCAAACCTGCCCTTGAAGCCTTGCAGATGGTAGAAACAGGCACCTGGAACGTTTGAACAAAGTGGAAAGAAAAAGAGAGTCATTGTCGGGAAAAAGACTGTCTCAGGCTGTTTGATGCAGCTGAGACCGTGCCCCCTCCCTGCCCATCCAGCTCATCCAGGACACATGCAAACAGCACATAGAGTGAAGGGGAGATGCCCCCACCCGGGATCCTTAGGAGGCTCTGAGAAGGAGAGAAGATGAAGCCTTGACTGCCTCCTGAAGACATCCTTGAGGGGAATGTCGTGTTTTCATTTCATCTCAGGAAGTGAGGTGAACCTAGAATTTTCATTCCCTAGGCCCCGAAAGGATCACTCTGTAATGGGTTGTGACAGGAGAGAGAAAAAATGAATGTGAATCTGTGAATTGATTACTTGATCCATCAGATGAAGTACATCCTTATAATGCCGTATTATTCGTCTGTAAGAAGGGGGAAGTAGTGAATATGCTTCCACAGGAATGAGCCTGGAAACATTA